AGACTGCAACATTAAACCTTTTGAAGAGAAAAGAGATTTGAAATGAAATCTTTTACTAACGTGGTTGTAAACATTTTAATATTTTTCTAATAATAAGAATAGTTACGGTTCAATAGGCAAAGTTAAAAATGATTTCATTTCTTACTTCTTTATCAGCAAATACCATTTCAATAGTGTCTCCGGTCTCTTTGCTATAATTTTTTCACAGACGAATAATCATAACTTCAATATTCCATGTATCTGTTTGAACCATTGCCATTTGTTTTTTTTTTTTTGAATTATCAACATAGCTTTAATGTTTGTAGTGTAAGACCCTGACCAACTTTATATATTCTCTAACTTCCACGTTTGAAAGTTATTAGCATAATATATTTATATGCCTTATGCTAAACTTCCAAAGATATGTACATTAAAATGGCGAAGGAGTTTGTGGGAATGCATTACTAAATTGCTATAATGTGATTCGCAATAATTGCATATATGAACTATCACAAGTAATTTAGAACAAAAAGAATATTAAAAGTTAAGGAATTAACTAATTAGGAATATTTAGAAAAATTAAATACAAATAAAATCACATTTGTATTCGAATATTTAATGTATAGTAGTAATATATACAAATTAAAATGTAAGAGTAAAACTGAGTATCACCTAGATTAAAACTAATCATGAAACAGTTTAGAGAAAAATATTATAGCTATATTGCTATAATTAGGTTTACAATAATTGCTAAGGACTAATAACAATTCATGAATTAACTAATAATGAGCATGTTGAAAAATGTACATTCAATGCAATATCATTTGTATAGACTTTTATACTATATAGTAGCAATAGCGAATTAATGACCAAGTAATAAGGAATCTTACTTAGATTTGCATATATTTTTGTTATACGAAAATTATAATTTGATATTGGTTAACTAAATGTACGCTTAATTAATATTTCCTAAGAAAATCATATCATATAGTTTGACTTTTGTAGTTATACAGATTTTTCAACTGTATTTAAAATTAATTAAAAATAATTAATTACAATTCCAAAGCTTATCTAACCAGATTGATATACATATCTCGACCGTTAATCATTTTAAATAAATCGATATAACTTTATATCACAAATGTATATTAAAATTAAACCGATTTCAATTATAACCATTTAATTTAACCAGTATTCCATATCATTTTAGTTAAACCGGTATAATTGAAAAAAAGCTTATAGGTGTATTGCAAAACCAACATATATAATAGAAAATATAATATTTTTATAAAATTATTAGAAAATTTAAGTGAAGAAGGTTGCCTCTAAACCGGTTAGTGTGGTTTAATTGGTGCATCATGAGATAGGTGGTATTCATAAAATGGAGTGATGTCCACTTAACCATTATTAGGATCACCTTTACGAATATTAACTAAGATTAACCAATATATTTAATAGATTACACCAATATATATCTCCCCCAAAAGTAAGTTTAATTAATTTAAAATAATAACTTCCTGAATATAATTATATGGAAAAAATAATCTATCATGATTTTCTTCAAATCTAAGAGAGTCTTATTGGATCAAAGATTTAAGAGGATTTCATTTTTTATATATTTTATATAAATCAGATATTTAATTACCATAAATTATTTTATGAAATATATTTATGTCGTTAGGATACTGATAAAAATTGGTTCTAGACGTGATTTTCTTACTCATAAAATTGATTTTCTTACTCATAAAATAAATAAAATAGAAAATTTATTAACGAATCAAATTATAATAGTTTTTATAAAACTCAAAGACACCTAAAAATATTAATTAAGTGAGTAAATATTAAAAGTAATAAATAGTAAAAGTAATAAATAAAACATTATTAATCTTTCTATAATTTCGAGAATTAGTTTCCATAAATTGTTATTTGTAATATTCTTTAGATTATATGGAAAGTGATGTTAAATGATTTTAGACTTAACTTAAATATTTAGATATAAATTAAATAAATAAAAATTAAGAACAATCGACCAATCAAATTATAACAATTTCTTGAAACTTCACATATGAGCGACACGTCACCAGAAATCACTAAAGTGACTTCTCATTTAATATATAGGAGGATATTTAAATTATGTATCAAAATAACTAAATAATGTTAGAAAAACCAGCGCGTAGCGCTGGCATATCACTAGTTAATAATAAAGTAAACATAGTTGGATAATGAGGTCTTTCATTGAAAGAGGGATGAAAGTGTTTATAAAATTAGTAGATTCGGCTATACCAACACATGTTATATATGTCATGTTACAGGATTTTAAAGATTGTAACGAAAAAACTAACAATTGCATTAGTACATTACAGGTGGAGTAGTAGTAAAATATTAGAAGTATGTATTGGTACTCATAAGATAAAATGTGCAGTGATAAGAAAGACGTGCGCATAGAGTTTCAGGACCTACAAAATTTTAATACTGGTTTATTAGTAAAATAATTATGTAAACTGATAGAGAATCCAACATCTTTATTTTTAAAGGTTATTGAAAGGATGTACCATCAAAAATCAGAACCTTAGATCACACTAAATCATACACGCCATCGTTCGGATAAAGAAGCATGACTTCAGCTTGATTTTTGATTAAAAATGGCCAATCAAAAGAGTGGATACATCAAAATCAATTTATAGACCCTTTACTTACTGTGAATAATCTTATTAATCCGGTAAATCATACATAGAATATGTGGATTTTCTTAATGCGTATATTCACAAGGACGATGTCAAAATTATCCAAAGTATGACGGTTAATCGCAGCTCTAAACCAGATACATATGGATGACATAATACAGTCCCTAATAAGTATACAGTGAGATAAGGTTATAAAAGTTTTATGGACCAGCTTCACGTTAGAAGCTTCAGTGCTTTTCAAAGTTGATACATTTTATTTGACAAGCAATATCGAAAAGCTTACATGCTACTAAGATTTAAGGTCAAGGGAATTCAATGTGATACATTATGTGGTATGTGTGGAGAAGATGAGAAATCAGTAACCATGCCCTACTTTAATGTTCACCATCACTTCAAACATGGACTACGTCCAATATCCAATTCGGGGTATTTCCAATGTCTTCGATTTTCTCGAACATGGAGTATAACTTCCAAAGGATTACGGTTTCAATTATTTTTCTTAGTCTATTTGGAAAAATTGAAAAGAAAATATCTTTAAGAAAAAATGGAAATCCACAAGATATATTGCACATAGCAAACACAGAGGGTGGTTGAGGCACAACTCAAGGATTTAAACAGTCATGAGGATAAACATCTTTCACAAACGGGTCAAAATGATGGAGACAAGCGAGGGTATGTGACGTATGTCAATGAATATCCGATGAAACCTATTTTGTTTACAAGAAAAATGTGCAACTTTGATTTTTGTCATGGAAAGACCCTACAATTTTCAGGGGTAATCTTCGCAACAGATTGTTCTTAATTGGTAAAGATAATATTTACACCGATGGAATGGTCACATTTCACATGGAAGAAATTCAACAATGTAAGGAGTTATTCTCTCATTTCTCAATCCAACATATTCAAAAAGTAAAATACAATAACAGAAAAACTTACATAAGATGCTCAAAGTACTCCTGCTGGGAATTATATTGGTTATGTAGCGCCAGTTTAAATTTTTCGAATTAGTAACTAGTTCAAAGATTAGTTATTGTTAGCAAGGAAAAAGGGCAAAAGAACATGATTGATACTCTGTATGTTTCATAGTAAATGTCACTTTAAGTTTTTTATTTTGTTTCAATAGATTTTTATTTAAATTTTTCTCATTTAATTAATCATACATTATATAGAAATATATTAGTATCTTATATAATTATTTTTAAATATCAGTGAAAAATGTGAAAGTGACACCTATTTAAAAACGAATGGATTTTGAAGTTTTCTCTTAAAAAAACTCTTGGGTACTATATGTTGTTCAACCTTTACAACCTCGCTCAAAATATTTTAATTCATATGAAATAAAATCTTCTCTGACTTTATCACATTTATTAACTCCATTCCATAGCAGAAATTAAGTAGAATTACTCCAAAATAATATAGTTATATTTTTTATTCAATTTTTATTAATTACTCTATATTAGAATAAATATAAAACAGTATTAGAATAAAATATACTCTGATTAAAATTAAAAATAGAATAATAAACATTCGTAATCATGTCTGTTAATCTGGTGTAAAAAAGTGTGAAAAACAAATTCCGTTGAAGTTAAAAAAATAATAAAAGCAAGAGGAGAGTGACGTGAATGAGTGAGGCCATGGAGAAGGCCACGCGCAATGGAGCGGTCCTTTATTCGCCTTTATATTCACCAAATTGAATCGTCTTGTCTTCCTCCTTTATTCTTCTTCTTCCTCGTCCGCTCTTCACTTCTTCTCTCTAAATATATTCAAAACTGAGTTTTTATCACCATTGATCTTCCTAAGATTTCCTTAGTCGAATGTAGTTTCTTATTTATTGCGAGGAGTTTTTTTAAGGTACGGAACCCTAATATATCAACAAAGGTACTTGAACAACATTTCATACATATATATAATATATATAGCCTCTACTTACACGTACGTATGTTCTTTTTCTTTCTTTATTTGTGTTCTTTGGACTTTTGTGTAAGGGTTATTTTTAAATTTTAAGCATCCAGATCTTTTGATCATTTTTTTTGAGTACATATAAGATGTTTTAATTATTTGCATGGAGAAAGCTCATTTTGATGCTAGGGTTATCGCTTAGTATACTCACAGTTATAACAGATTAGGTTTCAAATTATATTTAATATATAAGAAGTTCGAGTAAAAGTGTAAAACGCCGTTCCGTATGATCATTGCCTCAATACACTAACACTGTACAGTAAGACATCATCATTAGTACACTCTCCATGTCCGTTTATTCTGATTTCATCATCCTTGACTTCTTCAACGTAAAACCTAAATTTCATACACGAAAATATTTTATGTATATAAATATAATATATATGCATGTATGATGTATGCAAGTTCTTGATCATATATACATGTATGTGTAAGTTCTTGATCATAAACCACAGAGGTCATGATAAACATTTGGATAATAAGTGGAAACAACGAAATGAGCTTAATAATTGTACATCATAGCATTTTATGAACTATCTATCGAGTACTCTATAAATGATTTTTATGTTATAGAGTACTCTAACTAATTTTTCTGTTAAAAAGTATTCTAAAATTTATAGTTATGCATCTTATAAAATTGTTATCATTTTCTTCTTCGCCTACTTATATATATATCTACTTTTAGCTTCCACGAACAAATTAGTTTCTACATCTAATACATCGGCTTCCACTATCCTATATCTTTATTCATTTGTGATCTTGTGGGATCATAATAAAATATGTATATGTTCTCATAAATTAACGTACGTATATTGCTTTTAATGTTGTGGATTTGGTTCTGTAGAAATACAATATAGCCAATGGAATCTTCTAGCGTTCCTCCGGGATTTAGGTTCCATCCGACGGACGAAGAGCTTGTAGGGTACTATCTAAGGAAGAAAGTCGCATCGCAAAAGATCGATCTCGATGTCATTAGAGACATCGATCTCTACAAAATTGAACCATGGGATCTACAAGGTTACTTACAAACCACCAAAGATATTCCCATTATATAGTTTAATTTTGTTATCTCATATATCATTCTTTTGTCAACTTGCTAAGATATATGTATACAAGTATGCATGATCTTGTTTATTTATCAGCTTACATATTATATATTACAGAGAGATGTCGAATCGGGTATGAGGAACAAAATGAATGGTATTTTTTTAGTCACAAAGACAAGAAATATCCAACGGGTACAAGAACTAACAGAGCGACCATGACTGGATTTTGGAAAGCCACCGGAAGAGACAAAGCTGTTTATGACAAAACAAAACTGATTGGGATGAGGAAAACTCTTGTGTTCTACAAAGGACGTGCTCCTAATGGCCAGAAATCCGATTGGATCATACATGAGTACCGGCTCGAGTCAGATGAAAACGCACCGCCACAGGTATTGTATTATTGCTTAATATAAAGCCTTGTCAATTTGGTGGATCGGCCTCATTTATAACCAAGATTGATCATGATAATTTGTTCTGATTTGCATTCATCTTTTAGCCTTTTTTATATTTCATACAAACTTACATGGGGATGGTACTTGTGTTTCTACTTTAACGGGGACAAAACACTTTTGTTTTAATTAGGGCTTCTTGTCTCTTGCCTATTTTTGTGACACATGCTAACTTTTTAGGTGAAACTCTTGCACTTTATAACATGTAGAATAAACACACATATTCAGTCAGAAAAAAGAAGGTAAAAGTCTCACATAGACTAATCCAATGTCAGCATCCCCTTGACTTTTTGGAACTCATTGCAGAATGTGCAATTTTCTACTAACTAAAAATGGAAAATTTCACTCTCATTTCTATAGTTTTCAATTATCTTTGACATATAATGGTTTGCTAGAGTTTATGAATTATATGTGTGGACTTTTTCGAATACTCAAAAGTCGATAAAGCTCCAAAAGGAAATTCTAATAGAGTGCATGAGTATGTACCTACATCCACATTTTATTAGCTTTCGTCCTTGCGGTCTCACGGTTTTTAAGCATGTCCCTATGTGTGACTGTGTCTCACTAAAATTAAAGCCTTTCTCTCCTTCTTTTTATTTGCTTTAGCCTTATAGATTATAAGATTCTTTATCAATTGCTTAAAACATTAAAACTAGTGAAAGTTTCAAATTACAAGTCATGTCTTTTTTTGGTCAAGTACAAGTCATGTCTTTTATGATCATTGCGTGTATATTTTAGGAAGAAGGGTGGGTCGTTTGTAGAGCGTTTAAGAAAAGAGCAACAGGGCAAACCAAGAACACGGAACCTTGGAGCGCAAGTTACTTCTACGATGAAGCCGTATCAAGTGGAGTTAACTCGGTTCTAGACCCCATTGAGTACATACCTAATCAGCAACATGACATTTTCGGAAAAGGTTTTATGTGTAAGCAAGAGCTAGAAGGAATGGTTGATGATCTAAACTATATGCATTCCTATCATCAATTCATTCAGCTTCCGCAACTCCAAAGCCCTTCTCTCCCGGTGATGAAAAGACCATCAAGCTCGATGTCTATATCATCAATGGACAACAGTACTAACTACATCACCTCCTTGGAAGATGAAACAAGCTATGAGTCAGTAATAAACGGAGAGAATAAGAGAAAGAATAAGAAGAAGCAAGTAACTAAGATGGGAGACTGGAGAGAGCTAGACAAGTTTGTTGCTTCCCAACTCATGAGCCAAGATCATGGAACTTCAGATTTAGTTGGTCATCAAATAAATCATGAAGATATAGAAATGGATTCATCGTTGTTGTTGATCGAGAGAGACGAAGAGAACAGATTCGTTAGTGAGTTATTGAATTCAAACACTGGTTGTGATACTGGGATTGCGTATTTGATGAATGAAACTATATAAATGCCATGTGAGATTTAATTTGTTGATCCGCTTGCCTTATGTTATACTCAATATGCAAATATTAACAGTATTGTGCGAATTAAAATATGTCTATGATGAAAATATGCTTTACGGTAGGTTGTGAATACGTAGTATATATTTGTATTCGAGTTTAAGAGCAACTCCATTCATGAGGACCCTAATGGGGTACTTAAGTTTAAATTAATGTTTAATTTAGTGATTTGACAGTTATAGAACCTCTAATAATCTGTTTAATTTTTTCATCCTCCATTGGGAGAACCTCATTTGAGGTACTTAAAAAAAAAAAAAAATTTTCTTAAAGTTGAATAATTTGAAAATAAATGATACATAAAATTTTATTTAAAATGACATAAAAACATATTAAAAATACAAATACAAATCAGAAGCGAGAATAACGGATTAGTTGAAATCATGATGTGTTCCAAATTTTTGCCATATATGTTCAACCAAATCCGCTTTCAATCGTTGATTTGTTGCTTTATCACGAACTTTATTCCGAATGCTCATCAAATTGCTGAGATTTGAAGGTATATCTGTAGAAAATGAGAAATCCACTCCTGAACTTCGGGTTGAATCCGGACTTTCGAAAACTGAAATATCAAACTGAGTGTACCCATCTCGTTCGTCTTCTACGATCATATTATGTAGAATAATACATGCTCTCATTATCTTTCCAACCTTTATTTTATCCCACAAAAGAGCTGGATTTTTGACTATGGCGAATCGAGCTTGCAAGACCCCGAAAGCTCGCTCGACATCCTTACGTACTGATTCCTGTTGTGTAGCGAATAAAGATGCTTTCGGATCTTGCGGAAGTGGAATAGATTTGACAAAAGTAGCCCAATTTGGATAAATACCATCTGTGAGATAGTAAGCCATTTGGTACTCGTGTCCGTTGACAATGTAATTAACTTTTGGAGCTCGACCTTGTAATATATCATCAAAAACTGGTGATTGATCAAGAACATTGATATCGTTTAATGTACCTGGAGGACCGAAAAACGCGTGCCATATCCAGAGGTCTTGTGAAGCTACAGCCTCTAGAACAATTGTTGGCTTTCCTGATCCACGTGTATATTGACCTTTCCATGCGGTCGGACAATTCTTCCACTCCCAATGCATACAGTCAATGCTTCCTATCATCCCGGGAAATCCGCGTATCTCTCCAATATCGAGTAGTCGTTGAAGATCTTCTGGCGTGGGTCTTCTTAGATACTCATCTCCAAATAAATCTATGATTCCTTGAACAAAATGTTCTAAGCACAACAGCGCGGTGGTCTCAGCAAGGCGGAGGTATTCGTCGACGGCATCAGCTGCGCAACCATATGCCATCATACGTATTGCTGCCGTTGCCTTTTGTAACGGAGAGAGACCGAACCTTCCAGTAGCATCTTTTCTTTGTTGAAAATATGGGATTTCAGCGGAGAGGCGATCAACAATACGCATGAACAAGGGTTTGTTCATTCGAAAACGACGTCGAAACATGTGTGCAGGATAGGTTGCATCTTCACTAAAATAATCATTCCATAATTGCAAGTGTCCTTGTTCTCGTTGTCTTTCAATGTAAGCTCGTTTTTTTTTTGACTTTGATGCCTCTTGACGCTCTTCAATACGACTCTCTTGACGCTCTTCAATACGACTGATGCGATTCTCAATTTGTTGATCGAAAATTTGTTTGAATCTCTCATCCATCATATCTTCATAATTATAATTATTATTAGAAGAAGAAGCCATTTAGAAGAAAAATGGTAAAAGAAATTTATAAGAGAAATTTTGTTACAATCAAAAGAGAAGAGAGTGAACAAGAGAGTTGGACAATCTGAACTTTACAGTCGGAGAGAAAAGAAACTCAACTTGCTTTACAATCTATAAACGAATGATAAAGAAAACACAAGGAAATCTATTTATAAAGGAAACACAAGGAAATCAACTTGACAACTTGCAAACCAGCTTGCACATCCACATGTTAATGTCACTCGCTCTTCTTGTTTTCTTATGTCACATGTTACTGGCTTCTTGTCTTAGACCATGTCTTGCACATGCTACTGTCACTCGCTCTTGTCATCTTATGTCACATGCTACCTGTTGCAAATATCAGGTCTGAAAAGATTAGAGTAACAACACATTTTAGAACAGCACCTGTTGCAAATAATGATCTTGTTGTAATTCCAATCTTCAACCCATCTGCAAAGATTAGAGTAACATTGATAAGTTCTGAGATCAGATTTGCGTACTACCTCTAAGAAAGGAATGCAACCTCTGTTTTATGGCAGTCAAACTTTTATGTAATTGATAAACCCAAACATAGTTATACTCAAACATTTATAAAGCAGAAAAAGCATAAACCCAAACTTAGTTATACTCCATTAACCAAACATTAAGCATATGGATACAGACTCTATTAAAACAGACTCGACACAAATTGCTGAAAACACACAAACACACAAACAGACTCGACACAAATTGCTGAAAATACACAAACATACAGACTTCATTAAAACAACATACATAATTCAAACTTAAGACACAAACAGCAAACATAATTCAAACTTAAGACTCAGCTAACATATCTTTAATAAGCTTGTTTTTTAAGGCCATTTCGAGTTCAGTTAATGGTTCAGTCTTGGCAATGAGCGTCTCAACCAATTTTTGCTTGTTAAGAGTTTTGTTGAAAGCAAAATCTGCTTGCTTAATCTCCCATATGTGAAGAAGCTCCTTCCTGTCTTTCTCTTCCTCTTCCAAAGTCGCTTGCTTCCTCACTGGTTTTTTCCCTTTTGCCTTTGCTGCCTTAACCCCAACTGGCCGAGACATGTCTTCCTCTCCATGGTTTGCTTGCACAGAGGATGATGACTGTGCCATCTGGCCATCAGCCTTCCTTCTTTTGGACTGAATTTTATTCTTAGTAGCAGAAGCTCCACTCCATTTCTGGTCATGGCGAAGCTCCAACCATGCATGCTCCATTGTGAAGCTCTTCTTGTAATCATTATCATAAATCTTGAGAGCTGTCTTCAAGACGTCATCCTCGCTGTGTCCACTCCCATTCTGTTTAATTGCAGCCTCGTAACAGCCAACAAACTTACACACGCCTTCATTGATCTTTCCCCACCTTGCTTTACAGTTTGAGAACTCTCTCTTTTGGAAACTAGCTACCTTGGGACTCGCAGCATAGTAAGCAGCAATTCGTTTCCAAAACGCTGCCGCTTTCTGCTGATTCCCAACCACTGGATCCTTGGAAGTGTTCAACCAAGCACTTATCAACACAATATCTTCTGTTGGTGACCACTTATTACGCTTCTCTTTACGGTCAGACACAGCCTCTGCGTCTTCGTTGCCATCTTCACTCCACTGTGAACAGAATACAGAGGCATCCGACGCAGAGACAGAGTCATTCCATTGAGTGCTTGGTTGTTGACTGTTCAAGAGGTTTTGAAAACTACATTGTTGACTGTAAGGATCCATAAGAGAATCTGAAGAGAGAAAGCTAGTTTTTAAAATTTGTTGTTGAAGTTTGGAGAAGTAATTTGATTTTTAGTCATAATTTATAGTGGTTAAAGGTTTTGGTTGTTGAAGTTTTAATGACAACTTTTAATGTCGTTTAAAGTTTTAAGTTGGAGAGGTTTAAAGTTGTTGAAGTTTTAATGATAAGTTTTATTCCCGTTTAAAGTTTCAAGTTGGAGAAGTTCAAGGTTGTTGAGGTTTTAATGGCAAGTTTTAATTCCCAACCATTTTCTCTTTTAAAGCAAATCAAAATCTAACTACCATTACAAGCAAATCTACTTTGACAGAAAATCTAGTTTACCTCTTATCAACTCTAGCTTGAAAGACAGAAGCTTTGATGACCATTAATCCATTGCCTTTCTCTCCACGCGCATCCACAAGCATCACAAAACCAACAAAGAAAGTTAAATCAAAAACTTTTCTCTGTAAAAAAAGAAACAGAAAACTTAAACTAAAAACAACACACCTACTTGTTAAGACTTCATGATCTACATAGACAAGTTTCATTAACCTTGGTCCAAAATAGTAAGATTAAAGTCTTCTATTGTAAGAGACCCATAGATTATTATTGAGGAATCAAATAATTTTTTTCTTCTTTCAAATCATCAAAGCTCATCAATATACAAACACATCTGACATGTCACAGTGTCCGAGTTTTTGACCCACTAAAGCTGTTTGTGTGTACTGTAATTTCGCAAGGTGTGTGTGTTGTGTATTTATAAGACTATATTTATAAGACTAGACGTTGATCTTCCTACACTTTGCTCTAAAATGGTCTAAATTAATGTTTGTATCAATAAATACTCAAAAGTTTTCTCTTTATGATATAAACTAGAAGCTACACAAAAGAGGTATATAGTTTCCTATGATTTACTCAAATGAGAAACACATGCAGTGAGTAAACAAAAGTATCAACTATTGTGATTAGATTAGAAGTTACTTACTTCTGAAGCCAATATGGTGTCGAGATTAAAGTCGATTCTTGGGTTTACTGCAGCAAGTCTCATTGATAGCATCTGTGGAAAAAAAAACAAGTAAAAAACTATGATGAGACACTATGGCACACAGTTCTATTCACTTCCAAACTGTTTTGACTTGACCTTTTTTGGCTGTGTCCTTTTAAGGCGATAGTACAATAATATATAGGTATAAAGAACAAAACTGGAACACGGAAAGTTCTCACCTCCACTTGACGTTGTAAAGCTTGGACATGGTTAATTATATCATCTAGCACCAACGCAGTACCTTGAATCTGCAAGTTCAAAGACTTTATGATCAGCTTAGGTGTACACATTAGTTTTTCCTTTCTATGAGGTTATTCAATATTTCAAAGAGAGTACACCACAGTGAAAGAAACACTCTTTAATCTAAATGGCATCTCCAATCACAATCAAACTAGTACTCTAGTGGTTCATGGAACAATTAATCAATCAAGTCATTACAGCTCACAAATAAAAATTAGAAGAGGTGATGTTAGCATAACAACATCATATCCACCAATCTCACCAATAATTGCTGCTAACTTCTACTGATTTTAAATTAGTTGTCTGAGGGAGGAGGAGTGTCCACATCCATGTTTCCAACTAATTAGG